AAAAAAAAAAAAAAAAAAAAAAAAAATCCAAAGCGTTCCAAAATCTTGAAACTTTTTGAGTGCTGATGTGATGCTATAAGTGGAAAATTTCATACATGACCTCACATGATGAGTTAGAGTCAAAACTTTGTTTCATGAATAGGCTGGGTGCAGTGGCTCACACCTCTAATCCCATGACTTTAGGAAGCCTTGGCGGATAGATCACTTGAGGCCAGGAGTTTGACACCAGCCTGGCCGATACAATGAAACCTCATCTCTATGAAAAATACCAAAATTAGCTAGGTGCAATGGCATGTGCCAATAGTCCCAGCTACTCAAGAGGCCGAGACACAAGAATCACTTGAATTGGGGATATGGAAGGCACTGAGCTGAGATCATGTCACTGCACTCCAGCATGGGCGATAAAATAAGACTCTGTTCCAAAAACCCCAAAATTTTTGTTCATTTTTTTTCATGAATATAATTATTATTTCTTATATTCTTTTTTTTTTGGAGACAGTGTCTCACTTTGTCACCCAGGATGGAGTGCAGTGGTGTGAACATAGCTCATTGCAGCCTTGACCTCCAGAGCCCAAGGGATCCTCCTGCCTCAACCCTGCAAGTAGCTGAGACTATGGGTGCGTACCACCATGCCTGGCTAATTTTTGTATTTTTTGTAAATACAGGGCTTCACCGTATTGCCCAGGCAATCTGCCTGCCTTGGCCTCCCAAGTGCTGGGATTATAGGCATTAGCCATCGTGCCTGGCCCATGAACAAAATTATTAAAAACGGGCCGGGCGCAGTGGCTCACGCCTGTAATCCCAGCACTTTGGGAGGCTGAGGCAGGTGGATCACCTGAGATCAGGAGTTTGAGATCAGCCTGGCCAATATGGTGAAACCCCATCTCTACTAAAAAATACAAAAATTAGCCAGGCATGGTAGCATGAGCCTGTAAACCCAGCTACCCAGGAGGCTGAGGCAGGAGAATTGCTGGAACTCAGGAGGCAGAGGCTGTAGTGAGCCGAGATCACACCACTGCATTCCAGCCTGGGCAACAGAGCAAGACTCCATCTAAAAAAAAAAAAGCTTGGGGGGCAGTGCAGTGGCTCACGCCTGTAACCCCAGCACTTAGAGAGGCCAAGGCAGGTGGATCACTTGAGATCAGGAGTTCCGAAACCAGCCTGGCCAACATGGTGAAACCCCATCACTACTAAAAATACAAAAATTAGCTGGGCATGGTGGTGCATACCTGTAATCCAAGGTACTTGGGAGGCTGAGGCAGGAGAAGTGCTTGAACCCAAGATGTGGTTGGTGCAGTGAGCCCAGAGCAGAGATTGCACCACTGCACACTTCAGCCTGGGCAACAATGAGACTGTGTCTCCAAAAAAAATAAAGCTTGGGGCTGTGGCAGTGGCCAGAGGCCCTCTGGTGAGTGGTTGCACTCAGAGACAATGCAGTCCAGTGACACTGCAGTCCAGAGGTGTATGTGAGGGTGTTTCTTCCTCTGCACTCCTCTGGCCGCCTCCCTGGCTCTCCTCCTTGCCCCTTCCGTGGAATAGTTCCCTGTTGTATAGCAACTACTTAGCCCAGGTGTTCAGGACCCAATTTCAGAATCCATCCCACTATTCTGAGGAACACTTCTATTCTTCCCTAACCATTCTTGACTGTTCTGGGCTCTGGAAGGGTGATGCCCCTGTAGTTTGGCCCCACCTCTCTGCTGTTTTCCTCTCATGTTTTGCTGCCAGCTGCTTGGGAGGGGTGGCTGTATCCCTGTCCCACATCAGAAACTGATTCTCAGGACTTGAAGGCAAGAAATGGAGAGAGAATGAAACCTGGAGACAAAGAGCATAATTGTTGGGGACATGAATGACTGCTAAAGCTATTCATCTGGAGCCATATACTCTATTGTTGAAACAGAATAAGGAAATAAAATGATACACTCACATACCTGTGTGGGCTTTCCAAAAACATTGCACTACCTTGTCTACCAGGAGCTGGTTTCTCAGCCAATTTGATAAGGGATTGTTTGAAGAATGATGGACTCCTCAGGGAGGGAGGGGACAGGATTTGCTCTGGTAACAGCACTCAAGTAATCAGCTGGGTACCTCAGATGTACTCAGAGGACACCAGTAAGGCCGTCATGGGGATGGCAGGGCAGAGAAAGGCGACGGGCTGGGGTTGCTGTGTTCCAAGTGCTCCAAGAGGCACTAGACCTGCTCCTCGCCTCACGTGGAGGTGGAAAGAGGTAAACTATCCAGGAAAAGAGGGTCAAATTCTCAGCCTTCCTAGCTGAACGAGACTGTCTCAGCCTCAGCCTTTCCCTGGCTAAAGTAGGTCCCCTCTGTCCTTTCCCGCACAGCCCTCTTCATAACTGGTGTTCATGCACCCTCGTGGGCAGGTATTAGGAAGGAATGTCCAGCTCGACCCCCCGGCGTGCGGTCTGCTCTCGACGGTGCCTGTGCCTGTTCAGAGCTCAGCCCACACCAGGCCTCCAGCTCCCTTCCCGCCCGGCAGGGGCCCCAGGCCCGTAGCTGGCCACACCACGCTGCCTCCTCGGGTCTAGATGTCCTGATCCTGCGCAAAAGGGGCTGCATTCGGCGTAACGAACGGAGAAGCCCCCGACGCACTTGGTTTATTAGTTGGTGGACCGGAGAGGCGAGCAAGGGATGCTTGAACTTCGCACTGCGTCTGTGAGGTCCTTAAAGAAGAAAAAAAGTGCTAGTCACCGCCCACTAAACTCACCTTGCGACCTAAAATTTAAAAATCCGGTCACAGACGACGACACAGTTTTGGGGAGAGCGCGCAGAAAGTCGCCGGGCCGACAGGATCTGGGGCCCCAGTTTGCTGATTCGCTTCTTAAATCGGGCACAGACCCCCACCTGCAGATTTACTTCCTCCAACCGAAGCTAAATCCAGAGCCACGTACCCGGGGCCCGCAGGAGCAGCGGCGCAAGATGGGCGGGACGAGACTGGAGCACACCGCGCACCCAAGGCGCGCCAGAGATTTGCGGCGCAGAGCGGCGGGGCGGGGCCGGAAGTGAGGCCAGCGGAGCCCGGCGGTCGCGGCTCGCGTTCATTGGCCGGGGTCGGCGCGGTGGGCGGGACGGCGCTGGGTGGTCTGTGAGCGGCAACTAGCCGGGTGCTCTTGCTTTCAGTGCCTTTGGTGTTAGCCTGGTGGACCCTCGAGCCCAGCTGCATTCACAGGACCCAGCCATCTGCCTTTTCCTGTACCGTCTGGCCAGGTAGATGGCGGTGGGCGCGGCGGGCTGCAGGTTCCTGGGGAGGATAATGAGGGAACTGAGGGGCCTGAACCCGCTGCTGGTGATGGGGAGGGAGTTTCGCGGACCTGGACGCCTCTGTTCCTTGAAAAGGCTAGTTCCCTCCTCCCGGAGCCCCGAAGGCTCGGGGGCAACCACTCGGGTCTCCCCGACCCCGGGTAGCCGGCTTAAGGCGCGCCACTACCAGGACACCTCTGCAGGTGTTCAGAGCCTCACTGAGCCAGGAGGAGCTTCGGGGGACGCACAGGGCAGGATTGGGATTGAGAGGCTGTAAAAGTGAGTGTAACAGTGGAGAAAGCAAGACCTGCCCCGCAGTCTCTTGTTTTGGCTTTTCTTTCCCACTTCAGCTTCGGTCATTGCCAGCTGTCTGGTATTCTCCTTGGCCCCTAAAGTTTTGCCCTAGCTTGGTTCTCGTTCCCTTGAGTTTGGAGCAGGAGGTGGAATGTAGGGGGTTCGGGGTGAACTTGGACTATACCTTCTCTAGGTTTCACTTATCTCGTCTGCTTAAGGGTAGGGGGTTCTCTGGATGACCTCTGCAGCCCCTCACTGTCTGTAACTGAGCATCTCTTCCCTGGGGCAAGTGTCCTGGTAGTTCAGTAGCCAGCTCTGATCTCAGGTGTGCTCATTTAGAAAGAGGCGACAGAGCACTGGACTTAGAGCCAGACTCTTGGTTCAGCCTGCGAATAGCTGTGTGACTTTGGGCAGTCACCTCATTTTTCTGTGCCTTGAATTTCACATTGGTAACATTGGGGAGTTGTAATCTGAGTGTGAGACCTCTCGTGACCACTGTGTGTAATGTTGCTTCTGACCGACACCCTCTCATCCTTCTGTGCTTGTTTTACAAGTTTATTGATTGTCTCTTATCCCTACTAGAGACATAAGTACCATGAGTGCAGAGATTTTTGCCTGTCTTATTTACTGCTGTATTCCCACGTCTAGAACAGTGCCTAGATTGTGGTAGGTACTGTCAACCTAAATAACAGAGTGAGAGACTCTTAAAAAAAAAAAAATGATGTTTACCTGGGAATAAATATTGTAGTGAGAGAATATGTGTGCCATAGTAACCTGTGTACGCATTTGGGGAGGTAAAGGAAAACAAAAATTGTTTCTTTTTTTGTTTTTTTTTTTAACGGAGTCTCGCTCTGTCTCCCAGGGTGGAGTGCGGTGGCGTGATCTTGGCTCACTGCAACCTCCACCTCCTGGGTTCAAGCGATTCTCCTGCCTCAGCCTCATGAGTAGCTGGAACTACACGTGTGTGCCACCACCCCCAGCTAATTTTTGTATTTTTAGTAGAGATGGGGGTTTCACCATGTTGGATGGTCTTGATCTCTTGACCTCATGATCCACCCGCCTCCGCGGGTGTAATCCCAAAGTGCTGGGATTACAGGTGTGAGCCACCGGGCCCAGCAACAAAGGTTTTTAAGGGAAAAATGAGGAGGATTATGTAATTATTTTGAGATAGTTATCCTTGGCTACAAGGTTGAATAACAAGAGTGATGCCAGTGTGAGGTTGTTCAGGCAGTTGCAGGGCAGATGTCCTCACAGAAATATTTTTCTGTGTAAGTTTGCAATGGCCTTTGTGCAGGGTTGTAGTTTTTGCATTTTTTCTGATAGTTCTTATCAGTCATTTGTGCATGAGAACCCTCCTTTCATAACCTTCCTTGGCTCTGTGTGTCAGTTGTTCTTGTTTTTCCCCACTGGAGAATCATGCTTTAAGTTTGTCAGCGTTTTTAACACAAACAACTCTGTTTTGATTCCAGCAACTTTCACATTTCCCCTTTTGGTCAAGATCTTTCTCCAAAAGCATTACTGATCAATCATCCTGTAGTTAGGTCCCTCAGTGCTGGGACGGACCTATCTTGGGTTGTTGGTCTCTTCCCACGTTGGAGGGAGTTACTGGTGACTAGGAGTCATCGTCAAAACCCTTAGAGTGGCTGGGAGCAGTGGCTCACACCTGTAATCCCAGCACTTTGGGAGGCCAAGGAGGGAGTATCACTTGAATCCAGAAGTTTGAGACCAGCCTGGACAACATGACAAAACCCTGTCTCTACAAAAAATACAAAAATTATCCAGGCATCGGTGGGGGAGAGTGCATGGGGGAGTTGGGTAGAGAATCACTTAAGCTCAGGAGTTTGAGGTTACAGTGAGCTGTGATTCTACTGCTGCACTCCAGCCTGGATGACAGAGCGAGACCCTGTCTCAAAAAACCCAAAATACCTTTCAGCCACATTTGAGCAAAAAGGGAGGTTTGGAAGGAGTGGCTGTCAAGCTAAGTCTACCTGAATGGAGTTCATTGTTAAGTTCAATTTTGGCTATTCTATAGGCATTTACTATCATTGCAAAGTTCTGGACCAGCATTACTCTGTTAGGAGTGTTACTTCTCTAAAAACTTAAAAAGTAACAGGTCTAAAGCTTAAAAAGAAAATAGGGCTGGGCACGATGGCTCACACTTGTAATCCCAGCACTTTTTGGGGTCAAGGCGGGAGGACTGCTTGAACTCAGGAGTTCGAGACCAGCCTAGCCAAGATGACGAAACCCTGTCTCCACAAAAAATACAAAAATTAGCCAGATGTGGTGGCTCATGTCTATAATCCCAGCACTTTGGGAGGCCAAAGCGGACGGATCATGAGGTCAAGAGATCGAGACCATCCTGGCCAACATGGTAAAACCCCCATCTCGACTAAAAATACAAAAATTAACTGGGCATGGTGGTACATGCCTATAATCCCAGCTACTTGGAAGACTGTTGGCCACTCTCTGCTTTAACTCAACTCAGTTATGGCATAGTAGGTGGTAAAAACTAGATAGGAGAATTACTTGAACCCAGAAGGTGGAGGTTGCAGTGAGTTGAGATGGTGTCACTGCACTCCAGCCTGGGCAACAGAGTGAGACTCCGCCTCAAAAAAACAAAAACAAAATACAAAAATTAGCCAGGTGTGGTGGTATGCACCTGTAATCCCAGCTTCTCAGCAGGCTGAGGCAGGAGAATCACTTGAACCTAGGGGGCAGAGGTTGCAGTGAGCCAAGATGGTGCCACTGCACTCCAGTCTGGGCAACAGAGTGAGACTCTGTCTCCAAAAATAACATAAATAAATAAATATATTGGAAAATAGGAAGTAATATTAATAGCAATATGATAATCTCAGTTTGCATAATAGTTCTGAGAGTCCCAGTGTAGTGGCTCATGCCTGTAGTCCCTGCACTTAGGGAGGCCAAGGTGGGTAGATTGCTTGCACCCAGGAGTGAGAGACCAGCTTGGGCAACTTGGCAAAACCTCATCTCTACAAAAACAAGTATAAAAATTCTCCAGGCATGGTGGTACATGCCTGCAGCCCCAGGCTACTGGGGAGGCTAAGGCAGGAGGATTGCTTGAGCCTGGCAAGTCGAGGCTGCAGTAAGCTGAGATGGTGCCACTGCATTCCAGCCTGGGCAACAGAGTGAGACTCTGTCTCAAAAAAAAAAAAAAAAAAAAAAGAAAGAAAATTCTGAGACATGAACCTAGGCTTGAAGACAACCAACTGAATAAATCAAATGCACATTCTCAAGTGCATAGAAATAGATGAGGCCCATTGTAATCATCAGGCCTGCTTTATTTTTTGTATTTGGGTCTCAACTTCCCAGAAGAATGTGTCCAGGTATAAGAAGTAGTATTAGGAATAGCAGTGAC